TCTTTCTTTATTGTTCCATCCCTCTCTTCTTTTATTTTATTTTCATATCTCATCGCTCTCTCTATTGCTTTTTCTTTTATTTCTTTTCTTCCTGTTTCCCATTTTATCAGATAACTCGGTGTGTTTCTGTCCAAACCCAGTACCCATTTTATATATTTCAATTGTAGTCTTTCTATTTCCTCGTATCTTTTCCACCCCCCATATTTCTGCTCCATACATTATCACGCTTTTCATTAACGCGTCAAATAACATCATCCTTAGCTTCCAATTTTCTTTAAATAATCTTTCTCCCAACCGCCATACTTTTCCTAGTCCCATATTTATTTTACCTTCTGTTTTCTTTATATGTCTCTTATTCCCATTATTTTTGTTTATTGTGAATCCCAGATAGTTATATTCTTTTACCATTTCAATTTTCTTTCCTATCCACTCAAAACTTTCTTCCTTTCCTCTTCCTCCTCCTTTCTTACATCTCATCATTTTTGACTTTTCTACATTTAATTCCAACCCTCTTTCCTCTAGGAATATCCTTAGTTTTTTCAGCATCTCTTTCATCCCATTTTCATTTTTTGCCAACATTACTATATCATCCGCATATCCTATCGTCCAGATTTTCTTTCTTCCTATTACCACTCCTCCTTCCTGAATTTTACTCATTTTCTCTTCTAACTCCACAAAGGCAAGATTGAATATCGTGGTGCTCAGCGGGCACCCTTGCCTTACTCCCTTTTCTGTGTCGAATTCCCCTATTATCTCTCCTCTAATTTTTATTCTGCATCCTGTTTCTTTATATATTTCTTCTATACTTCTTCTGATCCTTTTATCTATTTCTTTTTCCTTCATTCTTTCCCATATCTTCTGTCTTCTTATCCTGTCAAACGCTGCTTTGATATCAGCGAAGAAGACAAACAATTTCCCACCTTTTTCCCTGATTTCTATTCCTATTGCCGTTTTTAGCACATATATTGCGTCTGTTGTTCCTCTTTTTAGTCTGAATCCCATTTGCGTATCGCTTAGTATTCCTTTTTCTTCTATCTCTCTGTCTAGTCTTTTCCTTACTATTTCTGCATATATCTTGTAACCTGTGTCCATCAGCGTTATACCCCTGTAATTGCTTACTTCTTCTTTTTTACCTTTCTTGTATACTGGTATTATTATTCCCTTTCTCCATTCCTTCGGGTATCCTTCTCCGTTCCATACTCTATTTAGACATTTTGTCAGGTCATTTATTAGGCTTTCAGTCCCTGCCATCCACGCTTCATTTGCAATCCCATCTTCTCCTGCTGCTTTTTTCTTTTTCATTCTCTTTATCACTTCTACTACCTCCCCTACTTTTATTTCCCCTCCCTCCTCTTTTTCACCTCTTTCCCATTCTGCTCTTTCTTCTTTTTGATTGTAGTCTTTTTCTTTTTCTCCCAGCTGCTTCTTGAAGTGTTTTAGCCATTCCTCATTACTTATTTTTTTGTCTATTTTTGTTCTTTTTTTCTTTCCTCCGCTCACTTTTTCCCAAAATTTCCTTCTCGTTCTATCTTTGCTTATTTCCTCCGCCACTTTCCTTCCTTCCTCTTCTTTTTCCTTTCTTATTTCCTCTCTGTATTCCCTCTTTGTTTCCAAGTATCTGCTTCTATCCCTAGTTCCTCTTCTTAGTTCTTTCAGAGCATTCATAACCTTGTCTCTTTTTACCTTACATTCTTCTCTCCACCAGCTTTTTCTTGTTCCTTTTTTACTTCTTATTTTCTTTTTTGTTACAGCGTTCTGCACTTTGATTTTTATCTCTTCCCATTTTTCCGTTCCTTCTACTGCTCCTATCCATCTATGATACTCTTTTATTCCTTCTTCGCTCCAGTCTTCTCTTAACCTTTCTTCTTCTCTGTTTTCTTCTTCTTCAACCCTGTTTTCTAGTTCCACTTCTACTGGTAGGTGATCCGATTTGGTTCTCTCTCCCATTTGCATTTTCTTCACTCTCTCTTCCCCTCCTATATTTCCTATTATGTAGTCAATTGTCGACATCCCTCTCGCTCCTATATATGTAATTTCTCCTTCTTCATCTCCTTCTTTTTTCCCATTCATAATCACTAATCCCGTCTCTCCTAGCCATTTTACCATCTCTTCCCCTTCTGCGTTTATCATACCATCCTTTGTTTTTATTTCTTCTATCTGTCCTTCGCTGTCCCATTCTCTTCCTTCGCCTCCTGTTCTAGCGTTAAAGTCTCCTCCTATTATTAATATTTTTCCTCTATTTTCCTCTATTTCTTCGGTTAGGTACTCATAATTTTCTTTTTTCTTGTGCTGCATGTAGACTGATGCAACCGTGCATTTCTCTCTCTCTATCTCTATTTCCCCTACTATGACTTCTTCTGTCCTTTCTTCCTTCCATTTTACCTTTATTCTCCCTTGTCTTTCTCTTACTGCCATCAGTCCACCCCCTATCTCCCTACCCCTTTTTCCTTCCCTTCTCGAGTCCCTCCATTCAATGTTATACCCATTCAGATTTCTTCCTATTCCTATTTCTGCTTCTTCTCTTTTCACCCATGTCTCCGTAAGTCCTACTATATCAAAATTTCTAATATATTTCCAGTCCTCTTCTTCCAAGCTCTTTATTCCCGCCACATTCCAAAATAACATTTTTACTGTTTTCCTTCCCTTCACCTCTTCTCTCCTCTCTCCTCTCCCCCCTTTAATTCCGAAACCCCTCCCTTCCTTTCTTTGTCATTCTCTCCTCTCTCTCGTTCCACCTCCACTCTTCCTCCCCTGCTCTTAGCCCATTGTGCCATATTTTAACTTCCTTACCCTTATTTTTCAAAATTCTCTTGCTTTTCTTCTTACCTCCTCTCTTATTTTCCTCTGTTTCCACGTCCAGTCGTGATCTATACATATTTTTTTCTCCCCTAATTTACTTTTTTTCTTCATTATTCCCTCCTTTTGCTCCCATGAGGCACACTTTATTTGCCACATCCTCTTCCTTCTATACTCTATCCCTTCCTGTCTCTGTTTTATTTCTGGTCCTCCTATACTCCTTAGGCTTATTATTTCCCCCTTAATTCCCATTCTGTCCTTTAACCATTCCTCTGCATCTCCTTTTTTTTCCCATTTCAGTTCTCTCTCCAGATCTGTTACAATTATATTATTAACCCTACTTTCTCTATCCATCCTCTCCTTCATGTGATCCATTTCTTCCCTATTATCTACTCCTTTTTCTTCTACCCTTGTCTCTCTTCCTTCCATGTATTTTTTCATCTTATTTATCTCTTCTTCCAATCCTTTCATTCTTTCTTCCCACTTCTCTTGTCTTCTTTTTTCTTCTCTTTTCTCTTTTTTCCTTTCCTCTCTATCTTTCTCTAATTCTTCTCTAAATTTTTCCAAACCTCTCTCCCATTTTGCCTCCCTTTTTTTCTCCGCCTCTTCCATTCGTCTCATCATTTCATTTAGCAGTTCCTCTTTCTCTTTCTTCCCCTCTCTTCTCAGTTCTCTCATTTCTGCTAGTACTCTTTCAAATGCATTGTCTTCTCCTTTACTCTCCCCCACCCCTATCAATGTTCTGTCCATTTCATTCCTTTCATCCCCCTCTGTTTCACTCCCCTCGCTTTCACTTTTGTACCTTTTCGTCTGCCTCACTTCTTCCTTGTTTCCTCCTCTCATGCCCTCTTCACTCTCTCTACCTCTCACCCCCTTTGCCTTCCTCTTATCTCCTTTACCGTCCCTCTCTCTCGCTGTTCCTGGCGTTGTAAACATCTCGTTCCTGTTCCCTATTCCAATTCCCCGCCTTGCTCCCGCCTTAACTCTCTCTCTTATTCCCTCTGTCTTCGCCTTTATGCCCCTCTCCTACGCTCCTCTTTTCCCGCCTTCTGTCTTATCTACCCTAACCTATCCTTTTTCCCTTTATTTTTTTTTCACCTTTCTTCCTTCGCCCTTTGTCTCGTTCTCTTTTTCTCTTCTCCGAACGCCCTTCTACTCCTCCTGCACCTTTTCTCCACTTTTCTCTTCACTTCCTGCTCTCCTTCTCTCCAGAATCGGCCTATACTTAGCACTCACACAAGACACGTCTACTCTCATCCAAGTCACAATATAACCTCCATATATATATATATATAAATGAATGGTCTCTCCGAGGATGGAAAGCTCTTTTATCGAATGCTTGCAAGGTACCGTGTTTTTCGGATGAACAGTATATATGTATATACTGTATAGAGAGAACACACTGACGCATGTATAAGTATATGCGCGTACGTAAATATTTACATAGTTTAAAAAACCCGAGTCACCTATTTCTTACTGTGTATAAAATATCCTGGAAAATTCAACTTCGGGGATCTGTACATCCTGAACCATTAACTTCTGAGCTTTGAGCCCATGGACACTTTTGATCTATGTGCCAAGATCTACCAAATAGCTGAGTTTCAAAATTTTTGACCGAAAGCCATTTCCCATAAGGATACTGCGGGGTCTTTTAACCTAATGACCAATAAGTAAGATAATTAATTTATAATGACTATTCGAGTATCATACATCTTGCTAAACAGTTCCCTATTAGGAGTCGGTCGTTTAATATATGTACTTCACAAAAGACTAATTAAGAAGTATAAAGATAAATTGCTGCTTCAAAGCATAATTATTTTAAACTAATGGAAAGCTATTAATTTTATACAGATATATGATCCTTTTAGATATTTGAAACGTAAGTACTTGAATATTTTATCAGAATTTCATTCAAATTTAATACTCGAAACCTAAACTAATGATACGATTGCTTATTGCTACCTCCCGAACTTTCATCTTTGGCTTCCTCGACTATCGAAATATTTTTCCGGTGGTTTCGAAAATCATGAAATATTTTCTAGTCTGGTCTGAGCTATTCATATCTAAATATCTTATATATAAAGAAACTTATAAATGCTGTCATTTTACATATATTCAACAATTTATTAAATTTCTTTGATGAACTAAAAATAAATACACTTATTGCTACCATTAATTATAGTTATATATTTAATTTTTTTCAGATGCATGTGGTTTGTCGGATATCACTCATATAGAATCTTTACAAGAAAAATCGCAATGTGCGCTAGAAGAATATTGTCGGTCTCAATATCCAAACCAACCAACAAGATTCGGAAAACTTTTATTAAGATTGCCATCCCTGCGAATTGTTTCGTCGCAAGTTATTGAACAATTATTTTTTGTAAGGCTTGTCGGTAAAACTCCAATAGAAACACTAATAAGAGATATGCTCCTAAGTGGTAGTAGCTTCAATTGGCCATACACATCATTAATTTGACAAATAATATTTAAAATTACTTGAATCAGAGTTATTATTAGCAACATATGGTATACATGTATATAAATAAATGAACAACAATTTTAACTAAGAAAGTATTTCAAACCTATCAGCGAATTTTAGATTGAGCAATGACAAATGAAGCTTATTATGATTTTATGTTTAATAAATTTCATTTACAATATTTGTAAATAAATGATAATAATAATAATTATAATATTAGCTTTATAAAAAAGGACTTTTATAGTTTTTTACATCTTGAAACTTTAAGTGTTGTATCAAACAAATTCTTCGCTAATTGCTTTTGATATTTAGTAATTTTGTTAATGTAAATTTTGTGTGGAGCTACTATTTCTTCTTTTACAGTTTATACTTAATTCTTCTTTTAATTATTTCATACGTGATATGCCATAGTACGTTTAAGATGAATCTTGAGAATTTAATTTCAAATCATTCAAAAATATCAACGTTTAGTATTATTACCATGCTCCATAAATGGATTCCATAAGTAAATTTTGTTGAATTATGCGGTTATAAATTAATAATTTATTATTAATTGACAGTAGTGCTTTTCTGCCTAGCAGCCAGGGAAATTTTTCTCACTACAGGTTGAGATGCTTTCGCTTGGTCCAAATAAGATCTTGATATATTAATCTACAATCTAAGTACATCGGAATGTATTTTTATTTGTTTGACTACTATAGGTTGATTTTTTAATTGAACTAGATGATAAACTTTCTTTTCAAGGTATAAATTATCTGTATTTTAGTTTGTTGATTGTTATTTTTTATTTTCTGAAACAAAATTAGGCCGCTTCTAGATACTTTTCCATGTTTATGTAGGCTTTTGTAGCATTAAGATGAAAGTTTAATATTATCGAATTATCTGCTTAAGTAGAAATACTCATACTTTCTACAATAATCGTGGATGATTTTTATTTGTTCTTTACTACACAATGACAACCCACCGTAGTCCCGAACATAAGAAAAAGTGCTACCTAGAGTAAGATGCTGCGTTCTCTATAAGCTTAGTTTTGTTAGCGCAACTGATCAAATTATAAACTTATATTACATGGATCGTGACGTCTAGACGAAACCTGACGTTTACTAAGCATAATCTATAGATGTAAATTTTTCTAACGAACAAAAGTACTTCTCAAATTATTTTGATGCGTATTCCGAATATAAACTTTTATAAATATACGTATCAATGAGTTATTAACTAATAAAACTTAATATACAAACATATTTTACAAATGATTTAGCACAAAACAATTGTAACATTAATTCTAATGTAGATAGGCGTAGATACCAATGTAAAAAGATGAGTAAAAATTTTACCTATTGAACCAATATAACCAATTATTCAGGTGTACAAATAATTAATAGGTAATTTTCTGTATCACAAGCCAGCTACGATATTTCTGAAGATTTTTGTACACTGAATCTAAAGCCTCAGAATTGTTCCATCACGTCAGGTTTTTAAGATATCCTAATCTTAAAGTGCAAAATGCACTATTTTTTGACATATTTAAAATCGTAAATAAATGTTATCACAGAAAACAATTCAAAACAACATAAAGTAAAAATGTTTCCCTTCAAAATGCCGTTGAATTTGTCTTAATATCTTTTTTTTGCCAAGATATCGCATTTTGAAATTTTTATATTTATAAATTTCTCAAAATTCGAAAATCCATTAACCCATTAAATCCTAAGTGGACGATTTTCTTTCATTCTTTTCAATTGATCTTTTATCAGGAATAGAAATCAGGAATAGACATTTCTGACGTAAAATTGTCTGAACTTTCGATCTATGCTGTTAGAATTTTGAAAAAATGCGTGCGTGTGCGTTGACTTCAGATTCGTGATCAGCGACCCCAAAAACACCCGAGTAACAATGTTCAAGTAAATTCACTGAACAGAAAAATTTATGCAATAAAGGGTTAATGGATTTTTGAATTTTGAGAAATTCATAAATATAAAAATTTCAAAATACGATATCTGATCGAAAAAAAATTATTTAAGCAAACTCAGCGGCATTTGAAAGGGGATGATTTGTACTTCAAGATATTTCAAATAGTTTTTTTGACAAAATTTATTTACGATGCTACGTAGCCTCAAATATGTCAAAAAACAGTATGTGTTATACTGTTGTTAGGGTTAGAATATCTCAAAAACCTGACATGATGGAACAATTCTGAGGCCAGATTTGTATTTAGCGCACCAAAATTCTTCGGGAATACTATAGCTCACTTGTGATATAAAATCTTGTATACCTGTGTTGTTTACCAAATTTATACATAATAAATAATGAATAATTTATTTAAACAATAATAGTTACGCTGTAAAATAGCAATCAAAATGTATAAATTTTTGTATCTAGTAAATACAATTGTTATTCACTCGTCCAATTTAGATATGCAAAAAAATAAAATTGCGAGAAAAACTTCTATGCATGATAAGCTATTTCTCCGTATAAAGATTTATATAAATTAATTGCAAATGTTCTATTATTTATTTGTTTCACTTAGTTTGTTTATAATTCTGTTATGCGATTTTGCGATTTTAATAGAAATACATTGTAAAATTCTGTCTCGATTTTGATTTATTAAGAAACAAACTTTTCATTTAGCAAACACGTCTTCGCATAATAGTTTATTAAACGTTTCTGCATTAATGCAAAAATATTATTGTTAAGGCGACCCGACAGTCTCCACTACAAATATAAATTTTTTCGTCACTGCAGCAATTTAAGACTTTTGCTTTAGCCTTTTTTTGCAACATAAACACTGTCTGAAAGTGAATTAAACTGTCAGCCCTTTACCTAAGTTATGTTTTGCTTATTCAGCAGTTAGCCTTGCAATTTTTTTTTTCTTAATGATTTGTTTCTTAGTAGTTTTACTCGTAAAACGTTCAGTCTTAATGAAAAAATAGCCTAAATCAATCTCTTCTTCTGATGTAACAGTTATAATCCTAGTGAATTTTCTAGATGTTACAAAGAGAGATTTGGGGGAGGGGGTATGCCGCCAGCCAAAATCTTGTCACCAAATGGCCAGACTGCTCACCTTCGGTCGTCGGGAATCGAAGTTTCAGTTTGTCGAACGCTTTTTGTTGGTCAGTTTCCCAGTTAAATACTTGATGCTTCTTCAGAAATTTTTGCAATAGTAATTTTATTTCTGAGCAATTTTTAATGAATCTAGAGTACCACTCGATCATCCCCAGAAAACTACATAGTTGCTTCACTATTTTAGGTACTGAGAATTCGAGTACTGTTTTGGCCCGTCAGGGTCAGGTCACAATTCTTCTTCGTCTAACAGGAAACCTAGGTAGTTTAGGTGAGTACAGCCGAATTCACATTTTTTTGCGTTTATTTGTAAACCAGCTTCGTTGACTCGTCATAGTACTAATTCTAAGTACTTCGTGTGTTTCTCGAAGGTCTCGGTGGTAATAATTATGTCATAAAGGTATAGGAATACCTGAGGTTTCCAGTCAGATTGACGAGGCCGAATGGCATGACCACAAACTCCCATAATCCTTCTCCTGGGCTTGCAAAAGCTGTATATTCGTAGCTATTTTCTTCTAGTGCCACTTGGAAATATGCTTGTTTAAGATCAATCTTGCTGATGTATTTGGCATACCGCAATTTGTCTACTATTGAGTTCATATTGGGTAGCGGATATGCATCTTTTCTTATGACCGTTTTTAAGTCTTGAAAGTTAATGCAGAATATCCTCGAGCCGTTAGATTTGCGTATCATTACTGGTGCACTACGCCAGGTACTTTTGGATGGTCGAATAATACTCATTTGATACATGTTTTGGATTTTTACTTTTACTACTTCTTGGATAGCCGCTAACATTCATTAAAGACCTTGCCTAATCGGTTTTATGTCACCCACGTCAATTATGTGTTTGACAATTCGCGTTCTCCCAAGCTTGTCAGTCATGGGCGGTATTAATCATTCTGTAATTTCTTTTATCCTTTCTGTTTGCTCAGTTGTAATTTCTTCTAGGCCCGCATATTCTGCTAGGATGGCTGCCCATTCTGACATTTGTCTGGGCTGCAGATTGTGCCATTTACCTCCATGTACACGCCATTTTCTTTCTCGAAATAGTATTGGCATATTCCATTGTTTTAAGAAGTTTAATCCTAATATAATTGGAGCTCCTGGAAAATTTTCCATGGCTTTGAATTTAAATTCATGAGTATATCCATCTAAGTTTATTTGCAATGGCAGTTCACCAACTGTTCTTTATGTTTCACCAGTATTACCTTGTATCACCATGTTGTCTTGCAGTAACCTGGCTCGTAATTTGTTCACAATTTGTAACCCAACTAGTGATAATTTTACCCCAGAGTTAATAAGAGCTTCATAGCTTATACCTTCTATAATAATTGGAATAAAATATTTACTATCTGAATGTATACCGGCAATTAGTCGGTTTTCAGAGGTTGTACAGTTAAGATTTTTATCTGTTTTGTTATTGACAATAAACTGGACGATTTTCTTTTTCTTTTTTGTATCGTCAACTATTCTGTTTTCATTTACAATCGGGTTCTCCACTTCGTAATGCGTTTTTTCGCTTTCAATGATAGTTCGTTAAATAATTTTCCACTTAGGTTATCTTGTTTCAGGCTCATTTTGTTTTTAAGATTTGCTACTATATTAAACAATCTGAATGTTTCTATTATTTCACGCCGTCAGGGTTTAAATAGGTTTTCTAAGTGTTTATCACAGCAAGTAGCTTATTGTATGTGCATTTTTACCTATATCATGGTGTAACGGCGCGTTATTTTTTTACTCTTTTCTCTTTCTTTTTTCAAATCGTTCAAAATTAAGAGTTCCAAATGAGAAATTTTGTCTTGTAAGAAAACAAAGTTGAGTATCCGCGCTTGAAAAATATTTCTCAGAGTTTTCAAATGAAAATCGCAGACTAAGAGTTTAGGAAAAATAGTCAGTAACCTATATAATAAAACCCTCTATAAGATAAGCATTGGCCGCCGCTAGCTGGCATGCTTTATATCTCTCGCTCCCCAGACTTCCTGCCGGGCCTAAGAGCAATAAA